TATTCTTTTGCTTAGTTTGGTAGCGTACGCCACGTAAGTATTTTTTCTAAGTATTACTTTTTCAAAAACTTTGGAAATATTTTATTAAATCTAGAGGTTTTATGTATTCATTTTTTTATTAAATATAAACGTTGGTCTTTCAGGTGTGGTAGTGGTTATGGAACTGACGTAGAAGGTAACTATAAAACATAAGATTTGGTTAACTATTGGGCATATACGATTATTTTTGGTGATAAATAATTAAATTGAAAAAAATAAATTGTTGCATAAATAAATAATAAACCATAAATAACTATACGAATAATTATTAAATTAACTATTTTTCTTGATTAATTTAATTTAGTCATGACCAACTTAAATATTGCCCACGATAAACTCTATAAATCATGATTAATATTTTTAATCATTGTAATACATTTTTTTTTTGTAATAATCGATTGATTAGGATATAATTAATTTGTATTCACCAAGCAGTTTTACAGAAAACATAAAAATGTCTTATTTTTAAATCTGTTATCTGGCTCCGACTCTAAAGGGAAAAAAAACCGGAGACAAGCTAAGGGAAATTTGAGTGATTTTGGAAATCAAGGTGCAAGCTTGGACGGTACCGGGTCAAGCCAACGCCCAACAAAAGGTAAAAAAAAAATTGTATTACCCTAAGGTCGAAACAAATAAAACATAGGACTAGTTAAAAATATCTAGTAATATTTTTACAAAACGATTTATCACAGCTAACCGCACGAGTAATAAAAATTCATATTAAAGGATATTTTAAAAGTGATAATATTAAATGTGTTGTTATGTCTATAAAACATACAACATTTAATATACAAGGGTGTACAAGTGAAACACTTGAAAGAATTGTTTTGTTTATTTAATCAGACCATGTTTTTTGTTTAGAAAAAAAAAAGTTAAATAAATAATTAAAATTATACGAAAATTATTTTTTTTAAGTCACTAAAACTTTAATTGGATGTAGTTATCTATAAAAATGTTAGCTTTTTAACCATGACTAATTTTATTCGCACATAAAAGTTAAAATTTGCATTGCTGACTAATTTTGTTCGTTATTATTAGATTAAAAAGTTAACTTTATGTATTTACATTGAATAAAAAAATTCCCAACTAAGCATGTCAATATTTTTTTTTGATAATAATTCATTAAAAGTTTGAACCGGACGATAGAGTACATTATTAAGTATTAAACAAATTAACTAATAACTAGTAATTTTCGACTACATTCTAGATAATTATGGCCCATCGCAGCAACCAATCGAATATCATAAAAACATTTTATACAATGGAATGAACAATGTGCATAATAATCGGTACACCGACAGTAAGTAGAATTTTGTTATTTTTCCATTATTATTATTCATTCTCAATCATAATTCATAACAATTTGGCATAGTTTACCCGAGTTTTTCTCATCCGAACTATTTATTATCCGAATATAATATCTATTTATGGGCTTATCATTTACCTATCAGTCCTATCTAAAAACCATTTTCGTTGCTACAACTATTTCTTCATTATCTCATCTCTCTTTGTGTAATCCTACCACCTACTTTCACTTTCTTATCAGGACTTTCGACTCCTGATCTCTATTGAGGTCTATTATTTGTTTAGTTCTAAAGTAATGCATTGTTGTCTGGAACACTTTATCCTCGATTATACATTAAAAACGGTCCATAATTGAACACAAAAGTACTATTGTAGGTACCTACTAGTATACCGTTAGAAAGTAAAATAAATCGTACAAGACAATATAATAAATAGATGGATAACTAATTATTAATGAATTTTAATGATTTAAGTTAATACACTTTTAAATTATACCCGGTTGATTTGTCGTCAGGTCCAAATATATGGTCCAGGTCTATATATAAAGAAGGAGTGATCATCGAAGGTAAAAAAATTCCAAGGGATATTGGAAAAAAAAATGTTCGTCCAATTGTAACATATCATAAAGTGGATGGATTCACGGTCAACGGAAAAAAAGTTCCAGCAGATGCAAACGGAAACCCTTTAAATCCACAGAACGAAATTGGTGGCGTCCGACTCTAAAGGAAAGAAAAACGACAATGACGGGAAAAAAAATCGCAGTAAAGCTGAGGGAAATTTGAGTGATTTTGGAAATCAAGGTGCAAGCTTGGACGGTACCGGGTCAAGCCAACGTCCAACAAAAGGTAAAAAAAATTTGTACTACCCTAAGGTCAAAACAAATAAAACATTGGACTAGTTAAAATTATCTAGTAATATTCTTACAAAACACAGCTAACCGTACGAGTAATAAAAATGCATAATATAGGGTAATTAAAAAGTGATAAAATTCAATTTGTCGGTATGTCTATAAAACATACAACATTTAATATACAAGGGGTACAAGTGAAGCACTTGAAAGGATTTTTTTTGTTTATTTAATCAGACAATGTTTTTTGTTTAGAAAAAAAAAAGTTAAATAAATAATTAAAATCTTATTGGACTAATTAAAAAAGTACTATAACGAAATATTTAAACATAATTTATTGTCTGTCCTTCTAATACAATTTGGTGTAACGTTTTATTGATACAGTTTTTGTCATTTTATCTTGATACAACAGGAACTACTGGATCAACAAGTACAGGCACTGTTGGATATGTATTTAGAAAAGAAGATTTTGGTATTGCATCCGGCGAAGGTGATTTAGCACTACTTTATTTTTGTTGAAGCAATAAATTGTTGACCAGTAAAAAGTGTCCAGTAATACTTGCATGATGTGAATTTAATTTCAATAGGAAGTTTGATACGGTCGAGTGGATTTTCTTTTTTTTAGTTTTTCTGTAATGAAAAAAACCAATCTAAAGTACCAAACTATGCTGAAAAAGTTTTTAAAAAAAAGATTCCATCTCTGGTAGAGAATTGCGTTTTTAATATTTGTATGTAATTAAATCTTCTCTTGACAATCGTTCAAATAATGACATTTTTATGTATATGTAATTTTAGCAGCTTACATTTCGAATTGGATAAATTAATCATACTAGAATGAAACTGCTAAAGAAAATTATATAAATTAATGTGACCTTGCTTTAATTTAATTAAAATTTTTTTTTTTAGAAAATTATGTAATAAGTGGAAGTAATATGTGTAATGTAAACTGCGGCAATAATAACACAAACAATGAACACTGTGGCGATAATAGCGATAAAAAAGAAGATACTGAATCTGATACTGAGTCTGATACTGGATCTGATACTGGATCTGATTATTATCCTAACCCCCCTAGACAACAATGAGAAATAAAAATTCAAATTATTTAATTTCAAAAATTGTAAACTGATTATACCCTAATAAAAAATTATGAAAATATAATAATATATTAACTACCGTATCTGCTAGTACTATATTTTAGTTGTTCAAAACAATTTGAAACCTCACACTTACACTTCACATATTTTTCTTAACAAAATAGAGAAAACAACACAATTCAATATTTTTTCATCATTTCCAAAAATACCGAATATGTGAATAACGCCTCACTCCGTGGGATTCTGGTAACTAGTAAACTTGTTGGTTCGTCTTGGCCAAATACCCTGCCCCCAATTTTTTTTCAATTTCCCACCAGTTTTAGTCTATATGAAAAATTGGAAAAACATTATTTGTATACAATTGGACATTCAAAACAAAATACGTTTTCATCGTAGTCCGGAGACGGGGATGAGTACAACAAGTATTTTTTTTCTCATTTTTAAAAAAGTTCCTCGCTTCAAAGTCTTACACTGAATCGGGAATTGTTTTTATCATTTTTACTATTCAATCAAAAGGAGAATCAAATTTTACCAAGACCCGGTTGATTTTTGTTTTTTTATTTAACTACATGTAACTATTTTTAATGTCAATTGTATAGAATTTTTTTTTTTTAAGTAATAATTTCGCACATTGGCGCGTGTGTTTCAACTGTGACACCGAGTTCAAAAGTAAACAAGAATTTAAAAATATGGTTTTTTTTTTTTACTAAAATATTGCTTATCTGAAAAACACTGGTGTGATTTGATGTGCGTTTCCATTTCAATTGTTTACATATAAAGCAAAGTTTATAGCAATCGTCTATATCATTTTTTTTTTACACGTTCAAAAGACTGTAAAACGTTATTAGAATACCCATATTGAGCTTGCGTTATAATAATGTACACTCCAACGTCGACATATTCAGGGTTTATAAAATTTCATGATCAACCTGACTTATTGACGATTTTCTAAAACTATAAATAAAACGTCTTATGTACATCATTTTTGGTTTTTATAGTACAATGATAATTTAAAGTCATTGTAATTTTTCCCCTATTTGGTATGACAAGAGGACGATTATCCGTTCCACTGTTATATGTGCCTCATACATTTTGACTGAGAAATAAAAACGTATAGGCAATTTTGAAATGTAACAAAGCATAATCATAACTGCACATTCAACCAGGCTAGAATCCGTTATCAATTAAAAACACAATATTTTGACTACCATTTTTTAATCCCTACCATTTTGTTTGGAACTCGTCTAATAAATTGTATTAATTTTTTTTTTTTTATGATTAATTTGATGTCAATTCCTGTAAAACCATTATGTTAGAATGATTTAGTCAAGATTATCAAATATTTTATTTAGATACTAGAATAATTTTGCTCAACTGGTATTTTTTTTTAATTTATTTTTTCTAGGTACCGGATATAAGTACCTACTAGCTTACATTTAAAAATCGGTTTAGTAGTTAAGAAAATATCCTTAAATCAGCACAGAATAGATAAAATCAAAAGGGGCACTTGTGATGTAAGCAAAAAAAAAAATTGACGACCATTTTGCAAAGATCTATTTACCATCAGTGGTGTAGCCTTAAGAAGATGGCCGCCCCGTTTTGTGTGATAAGGATCTTCATCGTGTTAATTTTTATCATTGTCCGGGCCTGGTATCAGTTACTTGCTCTTATCAATTATACAATCACGTCTTTGTTTTTGTTATCATGCCTTTTATTTCGAAATAACAACAATACCTATACGAAAATACAATAATAATACGACGTTCACCTACCTAGTTTTGCGCGTCAAATGTGTACTAGTTGTGTTATTCCAATGTAAACGCGAGAAAAAAAAATGTCTGTCGATTCACCGGATTCGATCGTTTACCGTCGATCCAACACCAGACAAGTGCACGCTGTAGTCACACCCAAACGTGTCTCGTTTCATGAAGATGTCGCGGAACCAGTCGGCGGTTCCCTCATACAGATCAGGACCGTCGCACAGTACGGCGAAAGAGGAACACCCGAAGGACAAGAAGATCCCCAACAACCCGTGAGGGAAACGCCTACGGAGAGGTCAGTCTTGAAGTGCAAAGAACACAGACGTCCTTCGCTGTACCTGAACAGTTCGTTTTCCGTCAGCCGCGAAGGGCTACAAGACATTTCAAACGACATCAAAACGGAATTGGAAAAAAAACAATGGAAGTACAGCTGGAGCAAACACGTAGATTTAGGTTCCAACTGTTTAGTGAATATCATCAAACGAGATCTTACTTTGAAACCTAATGAAACTATTTATAAAGTAAGTACCGTTGATACACATTAAAAACCGTACTATGTAATACAGTTGATAATGTTTAATGATTTTTGTTTTCAGGTGTATAGAATGTTGAGCACTGGTGGATCTCCTTTAATAGTAGTCATTACAAACATTCGATTTTGTGTTTTAACTAAAAATGTCTACACCAATCGCCTAGAACTCGTCTATGGTTCATATTTGATTGATTTGGAAGTAATAGTTCTCGGTCCTAACGAACAGACAGCAGTATTTGTCAGTGAAAAATCGAAAAAATGTACATTAATGACGGCAGTCGATACTCGAACGGCTCAAGAGATGATTGGCAGTATAGAATTTGCTTTCAGACGTAGCGGATTGTACAACAAAAACACCGCTTTTGTGGTTATAAATGTCAACCACGATGAAAAGATGTACGAAACCGTCAAAACTCAAGTTTCTCTATCAAAAGTAAAATGTTTACAATAAAAAAATAGCATAAATTATTGCTCGATAAGATAATTACTAACGTTACGAAAAATTTCTTTAGGACGATAAAGTGAAATATTACACGTGGTTATGGTGTTATAAAGAAATTGAATCCTCGGCCACTGTAAAACCTCATCTTGAAGAATTTCTAATGGTAAAACAGAATTCACTGTGGAGTCCCAGATTTGTGCGGCTAAGGTGAGAATGGTCCAATACGTTTTCGAACTTAAAAACAATATGCATTTTATTATTTTAAGTTATCGTCTCGTTTACAACGGTTGTGGATAACTTGGAATTTGATTTTTGAATTTGTTGCAGAGATGACATTTTATATGTTTTTAATGAACCCGCCGATATAGTTCCTTTAGAATCGATTCCCCTAAGATTCGGGCGTTGTAAAAATGTACAACAAATCAATTGCGATCGTCCACACTCTGTCGAAATACAGTTGGTCAGTAATTCAATGATTTTAGCAACAGCCGATTGTCACCAAGAAGAAAAATGGATTAACGCACTGAACCGCGCCTTGACAGGAGTAATTAGTTTAAGAGTTTATAAAATACAACGATAAATTAATATAACATATCGTGTGTGTTGATTTAAAAATAAACACAATTAATTTTCCAGATAAAAGACTGCAACGGTACAACAAAATTACCCAACGGACGTTGTTGCCTGTTGACTACCAATTATATTGTTTTGTACAATTTTCCACATAGTATCACCGATCATATGCAACTAGTCAATCTCGATTCAGTTCAGTGTTCGCCTTCTCCTACACACTATTATGTTATACTCGTAAGTGAAAATCAACATAGTTGTTTATACCAATCAACACACTTATAAGCTTATAAGTTAAACAATTTGTTAACGATTAAGGAATGGGCGTGTTACGATGCGACAGCAGAAGAGAACTGTAGCGATTGGGTTGTACATTTTACGTGCCGGTCGAGTTGTGACGAATTCATATCTTGGTTGTATAGAATAAGGCCCGACTTGACCAAGCAGGAACTAGTCGACCAACACGCTGCACAACGTCATTCGAAAAATAACGTCACGTTACGACGTTCACTTGTTTAATATTTTGTTGATGTATATTTTTTTTCTAATATTTTATTTTTATATGTTTTAAAATAGTTATGTTTAAATCAAAACACTTTGCCTTAATATAGTGAGTTAATTTATTATTAGTTAGATACACAGAACGATGTGTATATTTTTAAGTTTGCCTTATTGTTGTAATGTTAATTTTTCAAACCTAACCTGATTTTATAATTGAAAACTGGTGCTTATTTATTACTGAAAATATTATTCTAATATAATAAATACTATGTGATACAATATACACTATCTGTTTTTTTTTTGTGCTGTAGTTTTTGTTAAACATTGAATGTATTTAAATTTTAATATTTTTAAGGTAAATAAGCGTTTTGACGCATTGTTTAAGTTAGGTTAAGTCATTGGACGTTTTTATGTTTGGAAACAATTTAACTGGTTTTTTAAAAACGTTTTCCCTTAATATAAATGTTAGTATTTGTATAAATAAAAAATTATTAACTTTAAAAACTTAACTCTTAATCGTTTAAGGTGGAAAATCTTTAAAATTAACATCGATGGAAAAATGAATAAAACTGTTTGACTACGATCGGATTAGTCCAAAATGTAAAACCACTCCAAATTGTCAATTGTATGTCCACAACAATTCTTAAAAAAATAAGGTACTTGAATACATATATTTTTGATTTCTTCAAAATTAACATGTTGAAGTAAATGGTGCAAAATACTGAAATGGAAATTTATGTTGTCTGTTTCAAATAAATATTACCAAATAGTATTTTAATATTGCGAGAATTTGAAAACGTAGACAAATTCCTATAAAAATAAGCCTATAATATCTTTAGTTTTTAATAAACACTTTAGAATTTATTTATTTTCATTAAATTATTAAAATGTTAAACTCTGAACACATTTTAACATAATAAGATACTAATTAGATTTATTTTAAGTCAAGTTACGTATTCCATTAAACAATTGCATCATTTTTAAAACAACCGCAACCATAATGATAAATTATTTCAAACGCAGCAGTTTATATCACATAATTATAATATATTCAATTCAAATATAAAACTATTCATGACAATTAATTTGTACAAAATCTGTTATCACATAAAAAAAAAAAACGTACTTTTATTATTCTTATTTAGACTTTTTATCGTTAGGTTTTCTTCGATTCTTGCTAGGAAACACTTTATTTTTTAGTAGACTTTTTTTATTTACTTTACTCGAGTTATTGCGAGTGCCTCCCAGTTTTCTAACAAACATCTTTTTACCGACTTCTCGTTTGTGCCGTTTATTTTTCGATTTTAAAAATTCACGCAGCATATCTCTCTTTTTGATGAATCTCGGATCTTGACTTCCACTGTACACGCCCTTGTTGTACTGAGGATCGTAAAATTCTTCAGCATCTAAAAAAAAGGGGGAAAAAAATGATTAAAAATGGACATTGGTTGCATTGTTTAAAATTAAACGCGAACAACAAAAGTTTCCGATACCTTTAAATCTGGAATCGTCTATTTTGAAAAAAAACATCTCTCTCCAGACGCCTCTGGAGCCCAAAATTTTTTCTGACGGAACAACATTAACATTGTCGTCGTCTTTGGATTCTTTATTATATTCATTGTCATCTTCGTCGTTATCGGAGTCGCTGGAATCATCGATAAACGGGTTTTTGCCAAACATTTTTTGGGACTTGCTAATTTGTTCGGTTTGATACTCTTCTTCGTTGCCATCGTCTAAAATATCAAATTATTGAGTGAACACATTTTGTTCAACACATTTTAAATGCACATACGTTTCTTCGATGCCGGAAATAGACTGGTCAAGCTAAATTGACTTTCACTGCTGAATACGTCTTTTAGTTTTTCGTTGATTTTAAAATATTTCTTTGTGTCTACAACCGGTTCGGTAGCTACTTTCGACATGACCGATTTGGGGTTTTGCTTTTTCTGTCGTTTTTGTTTAGGCAACTCTGGTTTGTCTTTTATATACTTCTTGTGGTCCTCTTGAGTCGGATCGTATCTAACCATGTTGAACCTGAAATAATGTAAACACAAATACACTATTAAACTCGATACGTTATCCTAAAATATATATATATATTATATATGTTACATAGATTTGAACTAATTATACTAATTTTCGTAGCACATAATTACACAAAAAAACCTTTTACTTTAACGTGAACAATTTTATTGAAACTAACTTACATTCGATCTTCCATTTCGGCTTTTTTGGGTTTTGTCAAAGTTCGACCAACAACACCTTCTAATATGTTCATTTGTTTTTCTATTTCATCATCACTTAATTTTTCAATGGCTTCTTGATCATCAAAAAATCGTTTGTCCATCATAAAACGATCGTCTCCAGTAGCTTTGGCCGTTTGCATTTTAAACAGCTGAAAACATAATTAAACCACATAAGTAAAGCAACCGTTTGCAGTAAAAAAATGATATTTTAAATCTAATATTAGATATATTTAATTTAAAAAATTTAAAAAAGATTGTTTATCACCAATATACATATTACATTGATAAATTAGTAATTAGATATTTTAAATTTTGATGCTTTGCTAGTTTTCACATTTAATTAAATCTTTTAACTTTTAATTTGTTTCATAATTGATCAGTGGAAAATTATTTTAAAATAAGTGTATATGAAAATAAGAACAATACTTTAAAAAAAACGAATAAAAAAAATTATGAAATCCGTACCTTTTTGCCTTTTTCTCCTTCAAATCTCAATTTCATTTTAAAATCAGATACGAGTTCTTCGTTATTTTCATTTGTGTCATTATCTTCAAATAGTGACATTTTTTTTGACGGCTTTTCAACGGGTATTCGTTGACTTCCATTATCGTCGAATTTGATTTTTTTGTTCAAGGATTCACCCTAAAAAAATGCATTTTTTTTTTATTAGTTAACATACAGAATAACGTCTATTAATAATAAATGAAAAATAATCATTTTAGAACACGTCTTTATAATTCTATTTACGATCATATTACAATGAATGACAAATAAAACTGTAATTAATAATATTGCAATTTACTTTAAGTGCATTAGCAATAGCAGATTTTTGATTTTGTAGCGTTGTCCATTTTTCAGCCAACGCACTCTGTCGTTTTTCTTCGGCTTCTTGGATTTTCTTTTTATTGACATTATTTTCTTCAATTAAAAAAAAAAAAAAATTTTGTTATTTGTTATTTATACAATTTATTATAAATATTAAATCAATTTTTCTTATCTATACATAATAAATTAACTATTTCTCCATAACTCAGAAATAATGTTATTCAAGAATAAAGCATTATCTATTATTTATCTTATTTAAATGGTGCCCAACTTTGTTTGACACTATATATTAAAATAGGTAGCTTTTATATTATTATTACCTAATTACCTATTATTAATAATATATGGCATATTATCATACACTATGTTAATATATTACTATAGAAACTATTCTGAATATACAAACGTAATTTTTGTTTACTAATGCAAATAATATTTAAATAAGAATAAAATATAATATGGTTAACAATTACAACAAATTACTACATGCAAAAATTTGAAAATCAACGTTACTTTCAAATTAGCGCCACATCTTTAAGAGTCTGATCTAACTTTAACGACACAGCTTTGAGAGTGGCTAGGTAATAACATAATACGGAGTCGAACACTAAACGACTGGTCCTAAATGTCTCAGAATCCAAAATCTCGACTAGTTACCTTTTTTACTGATTCCCAATTGGAGACTTCCGATGCCGCCGAAAGCCGGTAGATTCCTTTTATATTCTATTTCTCCGTTGTCTTCATTGACGTCTGATTGCTTCATTTTCGTATAGTTAACTAAAACTCATACACCAAAACCAAAACTAAAGTAATTGTTTTTTTCGTGCACTTTTTCGAAATTCATTCGAATGAAAAAACGTGGTACTGTTTATGCATTGATAAGGCTTGTCAGTTTGATAACGCGCTAACAAGAGCGATGATAATAATATTGTAATGTTCAATATGAAGTTGTAAACGGTTGGCGCTGTAACCGCAGTCGATCAGTAGTTATTTTTGTTGGTCACTTCAATCCATAGACCTATAAAGAAAGTGTTCTATGTATTTGTTACCAAAGACAGGGCTCGGATTTTATGCAATCCTGACATCCAATCATGAATTTAAGTATCGTTGATCCGTATCCTTACGGATACTGTAATATTAATGGCTCATCACAAAAAATATTCTCCTCCTTTATCTTTTTACACTACATGGTTAACTACTATCTATTTTATATGTTCTTCACAAAATAATTTTTAAAAATTTCATTGTACGTCTTAATTGTCAATTATTTTTATCCACCTAAAATATTTCTAATAAGAACCATTGATGTTAAAACTGATTCTGTCTCAAACATTTTTATCATTATTGCAATGACTGTGTGTATTAATTTGTTGTTTTTCAGTAAAATGTGATGTCATGTCCATGGCTTTTATATGTATATTTAAATATCTATGAACAGTTTCATTGAGGAACAAAACAAAATGGACCGTCGTGTATTGTTAACAGTTTCACTCGTAATACAATTTTATTTAGCGTTGAAGAACATTTTACTAAATATAATATTTCTTTACTCGTTTTAATAATATATGAATAGCGTAACTTCTTTGAATTTTTTTGTGAAATCAAAATAATGTTGGGGCTTTGTGTTTACATGTTTATATTTTTTAAATAAAAAATATACTATTTGTGATAAAAACAATAAAATTGTTGTGTTATGTCTATTAATTTTTTTTGGTTACAGTATAGTTCTTACTTTTGTTTATTTGTAAAATTATACCCTAAACTTTGTGATTTTTTTTTATATTTATTATATATTGGTCGTAACTTGAAAAAGAAACAAATAAGTAGTGATTTTACAATACCTAGTGAATTTGTTTAAACTTAGATGCAGATCTGTGATACAATAAATTGTCTATTGAGTTTGTAAAGAAAAACTATTTTTCAAAACATACTTACACGTTTTATAAAAAGTTAAAACAGAATGTTCATTGATAAAATTTTAATGAAATTGTAATGGTTTTTTATTAACGATATACATATCTATTTGAAACAATACATCATACGAAAGAATTGGATACCCGACAAAATAATGAAATACATATCCTTAAATGTTTTACAACTTCGCGTAACACAATGATAAATAATAATTAAATAAGATTTAATTATTATATATTTCCATTTGGGGTATTGTCATATATATATATATGTATATTTAAATTATTATTATTCCATGTCTTTTCAATTTTTGTTCCATGGTCAACCTAACAACTATCTATCTCTTTCTAACGTTGTCCATAACGCGGCAGTATAGGCGGGGTGTGTGGGAGGCGCAGTCCATTTCTTTATAGGTCTATGCTTCAATCGTTCGATTCAACCGCGGTTTACCGCGGCAAAAAAGTCACAGGTATGTCTGACGCTCATGATAACCTTATCGCGGCTGCCGCCGTTCTCGGACGGCGGTGCGTTTATCACGGCATAACGCCAACACGGCGGACGGTATGAACGTTGATAACACAAGTCCGGGCGTACCTGCTGCAGATTCACTGTCAACGGTTTACCGGCCATTTTGTACAACGTCTTTGTCCAACCGCCAACCGGCAAGTTCCACTTTACAAAATTCAAAATTTATTTCCTACATAACCCAGTAAAGCGGCCAAAGTACTTGTGTTTTGGTGGATTCGTGGCACAGCGACCTGGCTGAAAACCGCGCTGCAACGTCACGCCAACATTGGAAAATATATTATTTACTAAAAAATAACAGTAAGACAGTGCGTGTCTTAAAAATGACATACAACACAAATAAGAACGTTGGCAAACAACTTTTGTTTACAGCGAAATCGCACAGCTCAATAATTACAGCGCTGAAACCGTTTCATTCCTGAAGTGTGTTTTCTTATAGAAAGTCTTGCGATAATTCAAAAAGATACAACACTCCCGTTTCATTATAAAATCGACATAAGTGTTATTACAAGTACTATTATCGAATAGTTTCAAAACCGTTTTTACTTCCAAAACTAATACAGAAATATTTTGAATCCAAGTATATTGTTTAAAAATTTTAAATGTATTTAAAAATTGTCATACTGTTTTTTTGCGTGGAATTATACTTTTTACAATGTCACTGTGATGAACCCACTAAAGACCAAATTGTAAGTATAATAAGCGCTTAGTAATTACGGTTTATACAAAACTTCAGCGATTCTCGTTTACCCGTGTGCAAAATGAATAATGCATTTTGCTCGGGTAATTTATTTAATGCTTTAACTTTACCAAGTGATATTTACACTTATAAACGTTACATAATAACAATTAGAAAAATGCGGTAACTGCAGTGAAATTAATGTTTTTACTCTGAAAAACCCGTTTTTGAATGTTATGAGTAAATTTAAATACACAATTTAATGTCTAATTTTTATTCTGAAAACAATAGGCAACTATTTCTACCGGTGTCAGGGATTATGGAAGATCCAAGGGCTATCGTCATGAATATTGGTACACAGGCTTACAAGGTGTAAAAGAGGTCATTGAATTAGTAGCAGGGAAACTCAACAAACCGTATGAACCTTTCAGTCTTGATGACCTGAAAGAGAAATTATCACGTAATAAACAATAGACAAATATCCAATAAGTTAATAACATGTAAATTACTCGAAAAATACATTTTAACTATCAAGTTATTTATTACGTTTAATCGGTTAACATTTTAATTTGTCATTTATATAGGTGTAAATTATTTTATTAAATTAAAATCAGAAAAAAAATTAGAAATTAGGGGGACTTCTTTTGATGATAAAACATTTATCTTAGCAAAATGTTAGATACAAAAATAATTTTTTTTTTTTAACATACATTTTGATAAAACAGTCTAATATACCTAATGTCACATTAATATTTTTATCATTTTACGCATTATTATTTTCAATTCTTAGAGTTAAAATATTTGTCATATTTGGTTAATAAAAATGTGCAATATTTTGAAATTTCAGGTTATAGATACACAGTGGAGGAATGTAAAAGAAACGTCAAAGAATTCTTAAATTGTCTATTCTTCAATCAGGCAATGGAGGTAAATAAAAAAAAGATGACAATTCCCGTTAAGTTGTATGTGATAGAGCACTATAAATATTCCAAAATTCTACTATTTTATTTAAAATAGATTGAAATTCATTTTGAAATATTCTTGATGAATTGTAAAAAATGTAAATTATTGTTTGGAGAATTAATGTTATGCTTGAACATATGCTTTGAGTGAATTTTTAGCGCCCGACACTAGTCAATTTTTTCTTCAATTTTATTGAAAAATTCTAATGTCTAGTTTTTATTTAAAAAAACAATAGCGCCTGATAGATGACCTGTATAACGAATATTCGTGTGACCAGCAAGATGGCATATCCTTTGATGATTTAAAAGCACTACTTGGACGTATACCAGTGGGTTATAATGATAACCCGCCTGAATTTTCATATCCTAAAAATGCGAAAACGGCAGTATCGTTCAAAGTATCGAGATCAAGTAACTAACAATATAATTATAATCAATAAATGTCTTGATTAAACTGATCAAAATTATTGGAAAATCATTTTAGTTTTGGAGTTTGTCATTTGTATTTCTGGAAATTATATTTATTTTTTAAACTAAAAAATCATAATCCTCGGACCAGACAAAATATTGAAAAATAGTAACATAAAATAAAAATCATGTGGGATACATGATTTTTTTTTATTTTTTTATTTTTTTAACTTTACTAATAGGTAAAAAATCATACTTACATCATTGTTCTTCACATTTAATTATTTGATATGAAAATGTTTCTCAAGTGTATAGCATCTCAAATAACTGTTTTGCTGTTAAATTGACCTGTTTCGTTTGTAAAAAAATGTATAATATTTTTTTTTTTTTTCAGCATTCGATGAATTTTTTAGCGAAGATGTTACATGCATCGTTATTCTTTTTTTCTTTCCTAAAGCACGATTAGAAATTTGATTTATTTATTATTTTTTAATTATATATGTTGTTTGTCACATACAATTATAGTTTTGATGAAATAATAAATCATTTTGCTATTATATTTTGTAAGCATTTATTTAAGTTTGACATATCTTGGATGAAATATCAAAAAGTAGTCCCATCATTTACAAAGTAAAATAGTTTACTCCTAAGTACCTTTAACCTAACCGTCTCTTGTATGATTTGACATCTATGTCCTCAGTCCTTTTATTATTAGGGTGGATAATTCTATAGTAATATATCTTTTAAATAATCAGTGTGACAACGATTATGTATACGCCTTAATACACATAATCTGTACACGTCGTCTTTTAGTTTGATATTTGTTTTACTACTTTAATATGTCCGTGTTAAAATTTAAATCATTTGTGAAAGGTAATGTTTTATTCACTTGATAGCAAAACGCGTGTTGAAAAAGTTTTGAAAAAGAAATAAAAAAATTGGAAAAACCAGTACAAAAGTGAGGTAACAGAGCATTTTGGGGGCTGGGGAATTACAGATATGTAAAAATGTATTGCAAGTTTGAAAAAATATAAATTTATTAGGTTTTTTTTTTTCATTTTCAAAAATCAAGTTTTACCGTTTTGTGCGTGGACAAGTGTCCCGCAATCTATAACGTCGTTACAAAAAAAACATCCCGTGTAACAACAATAATCTCAGATTTTTTAATAGTAATTATAGTTTTTCATTTGCCATTTGTTTGAAAGAACCAATGGCCAAAAAGATCGGAGAGGGGTGATAATTGGAGATTCCTCGATATTTTAGAGTGTTGGCCTGTAAGCTTTTCGACACTACTATCCCATGTAAAGCGTTTGGCGTTGTAAGTCGCAAGTTATTTTGAAAATATAATATTTTTTAGTATGTAAGCGTCTTACAATTTTACAAAAACGCCATACGGTGTTCAACGCATTGCAAAATCAAGGTATCGTCGTCACTTGTTCGCATGTACCCAGTTACCTAAGTATTTTTTTTTTTTTTTTAGCAACTTGTGAAACTTAAATGGCAACGCACGCGTTTGATTAACTTTTTGAATTGAGAATAACGTACTTAAAACTTTAACTGGTCGATAATCAGTTTTGGATAACTATTTTTGATGTTTAGCACAGGAAGAAAGGTGGAGGGTACCCACTTTCCTTCCGACCCTAAGCTTAAGACTCTTATAACTTATAAAACAAATTAAATTTCTCATTAAACCTTATGAGATATTTAGTGGACGATACAATCACACTGTATTAATTGCATGAATTCAAGTGTCCCACAATCTATGACGTTTTTTTATTGTAACATGTACTTACAAATAATAAATGAACACGTATACACTATACAAATATCAAAATCAAATTGCTGTACTCCTAAACGGCAAGGAAGGAAGTCACATTCATCGTTATTGATTATTTCTTTCCTGGATATTTTTGATATAATTATAATATTTTTAATTATAATTTTTTATGTATGTCATTTGTCACATACACATGTAGTTTTGGTTAAATTATAAATCTTGCTTTTATATTTTGTTAGTATTTATTTACAATATTTCGTAATGACCGTAATAATCTAAATAGTGTCCATTACAAAGGAGGGGCGTCCTTATAGCTATCCATAATCGCTTTTGTCCGAATGCTCTTACGTTATCTAACCCTTTACTTGAAAGTCTAGCCGTATCGTTTAAAACGGTTAACTCTAAAATTATTCTTTTATCTATTTACATCCCTCCGAATAGTCCAATTGATATCGATAAATTCCACTGTGTAGAGATTGAGAATCTGAGATTAATCTATCCTGACTATACTTTTATAACAGCTGGGGATTTTAATTTACCTTATATTAAATGGTCGAATATTATTCATGCTATATTACCCGGTCCCTACTCTGATAAGTCTAAAGTTCTAGCTGAGCCAATTTTTTAAACATGATTTCATAGAAAATTACAAAAATAATATATTGGATTTAGTAATCTCAGACAGTAATAGTTTAGATGTAACGAAATGTTCTTTTCCGTTAGTGTCTACTGACATAGCTCATCCTCCGCTTCAAATTAATGGTCCAATTGTCGTTACAACTCTAAGATCATCCATTTGAATTCTACTGTCTGGGATTCTGTACTCTGTGATTCGCTTGATTTTTCAGTTATTATCTCTTATTTTTATTCAGTTATTCAGAACGACATTAATATTTTCACTCCTAAAGTTGTTAAAAATAAAACTCATTATCCTCAGTGATATAGTAGTAAACTTGAATCTTTGTTATTTAATAAAAAAACGTCTACGTAGAGAGTTCAAGATTACTAAAGATTACAATATTTATAATGAATTTTCTCGTTTGCGTGCCTTATGTAAAAAAGAATCTAAAGCAAGTTATTTACGTTACATTAATAAAATCCAGTTAGATCTTACTTCTGGTCCAAAATCTTTTTGGCGGTACGTCAAAGGTCTAAATGTTAATAGTGATATACCCCACTCTATGGTACTAAATGCTAAAACTTCTACTGGATGGTCTGGGGTGACTGATTGATTTAAAGAATTCTTTGGTTCAGTCTACTCTATAGAAAGCTTAAATATAGACGAATGTACTCAAAAATCAAAAGATTATACCGATACATGTCAACAACCACATATTAATTTCACTGTTAGTGAGATATTTAATGATCTTCATTCTCTAGACTCTAATCCGTGCCCTGGACCTGATGGCATACCTAATATTTTGTTACGTTCTTGTAAACATTCCTTATCAATTCCGTTATGTACATTATTTAACCACTCTTTAATGGTTGGTGTTTTCCCCCCACCTCAATGGAAAAATAGTTTTATTACGCCCATTTTTAAATCTGGTAATAAAAGTTGCATAACTAATTACAGACCGATAGCAAAACAATCAGCTTTGCCTAAATTGATAGGAAAATTAATTGTACCGTCTTTAACTCGATTTTCATTTAAAAACATAATAAATAACAACCGGCATGGTTTTAGGAAGGGGCGCTCTGTAGAAACTGATTTACTCTGTTTCTATAACTTCCTATTATCGTCTATGGCATCTGGTAAACAGACTGATGTTATTTATACAGATTCACTACTTTTTTCTTTTTGTTACACTTGATTTATACTTAAATTCCAATTCACATTTTGTTTTTAAATTATTATCTTGTATTTAAGCTAAAATTATTATTGTACTTGATCCCTCTTGGGCGTTTACCCAAATAAATAAATAAATTACAAGGTACACGTTGTAGTCATAAACAGAAAATATACATATTTTATAAACAAATTTGTACAAATTAGAGACACGGCCAAAACTAAAATTATTTTACCTTTCAGATCATGGGTCACAGTTATATATATATATATTTATATGAAATAGTACTACTGAAAGTGCTAACATCACTTTCAAATGCCAATATGTAATAGAGGAAATAAACATAACAATAAAAACCATGTACTCAATAACAATAATCTTTTTTAAAATATATTTTTACTATTAGGGTGAATAGTTCTATAATAATTAGTGTGAATAAATAAAAATTCGGTTGTATACATTAAAAAACATTTAAGTGGATTGCATGCGGTCTATTTTTAAGGAGTTTTGTATAGGCAATATTTGAGAAAAATGTTGTTTTTTTATACATTTCGACCATGTCAAATTATTTACCGGTTAATTTGTATAATCATCAAAGTGTTTTTTTTTTTAATTTAAATATTTTTTTCTATAACCAACAGTTATATTGTTTTATTTTAGTCCATAAAGCTAGACAAAATGTCTACTACACAGGATGGTCCGATTTAAATTCAGTAAAGACATTCGAATTCTTTGGCTACTTTTCTAGGTCACGTTGCAAAGCCCATATTCATTTGAAAATTCCAGTTTCTTGTAGTTGATAAAACTAAATTTGCAATTTTTCCAATATTAAATAAATTTTTTTAAAACGTCAAAAATAACAGTAAGACAGCGCGTGTCTTAAAAATGACAAACAACACAAATAAGAACGTTGGTAAACAACTTTTGTTTACAGCGAAATCGCACAGCTCAATATTTACAGCGCTGAAACCGTTTCATTTCTGAAGTGTGTTTTCTTATAGAAAGTCTTGCGATAATTCAAAAAGATACAACACTCCCGTTTCATTATAAAATCGACATAAGTATTATTACAAGTACTATTATCGAATAGTTTCAAAACCGTTTTTACTTCCAAAACTAATACAGAAATATTTTGAATCCAAGTATATTGTTTAAAAATTTTAAATGTATTTAAAAATTGTCATACTGTTTTTTTGCGTGGAATTATACTTTTTACAATGTCACTGTGATGAACCCACTAAAGACCAAAAAGTAATTATAATAAGCGCTTAGTAATTACGGTTTATACAAAACTTCAGCGATTCTCGTTTACCCGTGTGCAAAATGAATAATGCATTTTGCTCGGGTAATTTATTTAATGCTTAAACTTTACCAAGTGATATTTACACTTATAAACGTTACATAATAACAATTAGAAAAATGCGGTAACTACAGTGAAATTAATGTTTTTACTCTGAAAAACACGTTTTTGATTTTTATGAGTAAATTTAAATACACAATTTAACGTCTAGATTTTATTCTGAAAACAATAGGATATTATTAATTCCAGTCTCTGGGGTTATGGAAGATCCAAGGGCTATCGTGATGATGACTGGTGGAGCCTAGACTTACAAGGTGTAAAAGATGTCATTGAAATAGCAGCAGGGAAACTCAACAAACCGTATGAACCTATCAGTCTTGAAGACCTGAAAGAGATAGGATTACGTAATAAACAATAGACAAACAAACTAATAATATGTAAATTATTCAAAAACTACCGAAAAAACATTTTAATTATCAAGTCATTTACTACATTTAATCAGCCAATTTACCTAATATCACATTAATATTTTTATCATTTTACGCATTATTATTTTCATATCTTAGAGTTAAAATTTTTGTCATATTTGGTTAATAAAAATATGCGATATTTTGAAATTTCAGGGCTTAGATACTCAGCGGAGGAATGTAAAAGCTACGTCAAAGCACTCTTAAAATTTAAATACTTAAATCATGAAATGGAGGTAAATAAAAAAAAGATGACAACGCCCGTTAAGTTGTATGTGATAGGACACTAGATATATTCCAAAATTCTACTATTTTATTTAAAATAGATTGAAATTCATTTTGAAATATTCTTGATGAATTGTATAACATGTAAATTATTGTTTAGAGAATTAATGTTATGTTGAACATTTTTTTGAGTGAACTTTTAGCGCCCGACGCTAGTCAATTTTTTCTTTAATTTTATTGAAAAATTCTAATGTCTAGTTTTTATTTAAAAAACAATAGCGCCTGATAGATGACCTGTATAACGAATATTCGTGTGACCAGCAAGATGGCATATCCTTTGATGGGTTAAAAGCACTACTTGGACGTATACCAGCCGGTTATAATAGGAACCCGCCTAAATTTTCATATCTTGAAGATAAGAGAACTGCAGTACCGTACAAACTGTCAAAAGGTAATTAACAATATAATTATAATCAATAAATGTCTGATCAAAATTATTGAAAAAACATTTTAGTTATGGAGTTTGTCATTTGTATTTCTGGAAATTATATTTATTTTTTAAACTAAAAAATCATAATTCTCGGACTAGACAAAATATTGAAAAATAGTAACATAAAATAAAAATCATGTGAGATACATGATCATTTTTTAAACTTTACTAATAGGTAAAAAATCAAACTTTCATCACTGTTCTTCACTTGTAATTATTTAATATAAAAATATTTATCAAGTGTATCGCATCTCAAATAACTGTTTTGCTGTTAAATTGACCTGATTCGTTTGTAAAAAAATGTATAATATATTTTTACTTTCAGATTTCAAATATTGGTATAGGAACGAAATTTTTTGCATTATTTTTGAATTTTTCTTTCCTGGATCACGAGTATATTGATTAATTTATTATTTTTTTAATTATATATGTTGTTTGTCACATACAGTTATAGTTTTGGGCCCTATTCAACAAAGTCCAAATTCATTGGGTTAAGTATTATGAAATGTTTGTGTCACACACAAATATTGAACCAAATTAAAATTACAAAAGAACTTACAATGTAAAACATTATCTGGTAAATTTATGAGTGACTTTGTTGAATAGGGCCCACGCTTTTCTTTTTAGTCAAAAATTAATTTTCGGTTGTTTTCAAAGTAATTGACATTTGAAATAAAATGCTACAGTTGATTGGTAAATTGTTCTTGTAATAAAATTATTTTTACTTTTTAGTTCACTTTTTACAATTTTTTTTTTTTTTTTTTAAAGCATGTTTTTAAAAAAGTTTTTTTTAAAATTATTTATTTTGTTTTTTTTTAATTTTTAGTCCTATTAAAGGTATTTAATAATTGCTGAATAGATTACTAAATTAATTTTGCAAGATTTGGAAAAAAAAACCGTACAAACGTACGTACGTACGTGTTAGCGAGCTAACTGCTAAAGAAAAGCATGTAAAAATACATTTATTGAAGTACATATTACATAATTATATTAGGTATATTTATTATTAACTATACAAAAAACCTAAATGTAATAGGTTAAGTGATAACATTTAAAAAAAAAATCTCTTAATATATAAAATTCCCCATATGTATAAGAATATCATCATAATCTAACTTCTTTGTTAAATCTGACTCTGTAGTTAAATCGGCCAAAGAATTTAGCCTCTCGTCTGTAGTACTTGATCTCAAAATGGACTTGACCCTTTTTAACACTGAAAAAGACCTCTCAGCAGAACAGTCAGATGTAGGACAAGAAACAAAAATTCGTAACGCAATTTATCTACTTATGGAGATAAAATTACTGAGCCAAATTTAAGAACAGATTGTACGAGAAAACAATAAAGGGTTTCCATAGTAGTTAAATTTTAAAATTGTTTAGTGTTTAGTGTATTTATGAAGCCTAACATTTTGTAATAGCCCACGCTATTACTTTTTAGTCAAAAATGAAATTTAATCTATGGACAGGGCTGGTTTTGGAAGGGATGCGGGTGATCCCACGCTTTAATCCGAACAAATATGTTAAATTTATTGAAAAAAATTCAAGCCGAGAGTTTATTAAATTTATAGTTAAAAATAAAATATACTAAACATGTACTATTTCGTTAACTATAACGGCTAGCGGTACTTTAACCACCCCACTGATAAAAACATTGTACCTAATTACAATAATGTGATAAAAAATGTATTTTTGTTATTCTTAGGCATGTTTTTTTTATTCAGTAGTGAAAGGCAAGTATTTGTTTTAGTTTGATTTTGTTGGATTCGTGCGAGGGAGGAGTCGAAAACGTCTGTCTGTATTGAGCTGACCAAGTGCCGAACCACTGTCCCCACTTGGTTATTTGTTTCCAGAGAAACTACCAAGCTTGTGGATTTTTACAAATTTGTAGTACATTGATTACAGTTAAAAGAACCAACGGCTAAAGACGGCGAGTAGGGGATGATAGTGGGAGATTCCTTGATTATTTGGAGTTTTGGCCTCTAAGCTTTTCAACGCTACTATCCCATATGTTAAGCGTTTGGCGTTGTAAGTCACATATTATTTCAGAATATAATATTTGTTAGCATGTAAGCGTTTTACAATTTTACAAAAAACGCCAAATGGTGTTTAACGCATTGCAAAATCAAAGTATCGTCGACACTACTGGAGTTCGTGTGTACTTATGACATACAGGGTGATCATTTTACCACGTGAACCACTCAGTATATTATAGGGTTTATTAGGAAATGTAATTTTTTTATCATGATATGTTTATACAATGTGATTTCGAGTAGAACCCCACCCCACCATATGGCAATTATGATATTTTTCGAATATATTTTACTTCTTCAAACAATTATTAACTTGAATTCAGAATATTTTTAACTATTAGTTTCCAAATGAAAACTACATTGAAACGTTCGTACTTACATCGCTTTAAATATTATAACGATGATATTATGTATATAACATATCGATACGTTAGAGCACACAAGTGCTATGTCTATTTTTTTCAAAATCGTGATTTTGTGTATCCCTGAGCTCGTGATACAAAACTGAATCAAATGTACACCAGTGACATGTCCAAAGAGCATACAATTCTAAGTCGTTTGTGGGTTTTTTTGAAGAGCTCAAGAGTTAAACTGTTTATCTAAAAAATTATCTAAATTGGACATAGCACTTGTGTGCTCCTATGTTTCGATATAGACAAGCTATGATTTATTATATTCATTTATTTTTGTAGCACAAAACACTCATTAAGAACTCTTTTCTTTTAAAATGCGTTTTGTCCAAATAAAAGGTGGACTAAATCAGCATAAACTAAATAAAAAACACGACAGCATTAAACAAAAAAAGAATATACCAATCGGCACTTCTATTTTTTAGCTGTTAAAAAAAATTTCAAAATCGATTATTTATTAGTAACAAAACTTAGTTTCGAATTTTATTCATTTTGCATTTGTATGAGCGCTTGTTAAGTTGTATATAACTTGGTTTATTAAAATTCGAAGGTTATAATAAATTATAGGTTGACAATATCTTCGCATTAGACAAACTATTTTGGGATTTGTGCTCGAGTATATATTTTTTTTTCAATTGCCATTTTGAACACTTTTAAGTTAAAAAATATCATATTTTTTATAAAATAATAAAAGGTTTTTTTTTCATAAAAAAAAAAATGCTAATTTATGGTTTCATATCCTGGAGATGAGATGGGGGGGGGAGAATTTGTATATACATGTTATTGTAAATAATACTTATATATTATAATTCACAGAACACATTACCCCTTATGCAATGGAGATTAATTTATTAAATGTCTAAAAACTTATTAAACCGTTGAATAATTTTAAAATTCATTGAACATAATATGTGAGATTGAAACACTTGGTAGAACAAAAAAAAAATACCTGTTATGTGTTGATCTCTAGAGACACATACTCAATAAATTGTATTTCTAAGTAAACGCTTTGAAGCGAATCAGTGGATAGTAAGTTCAAACCAGTACAGTCTCAACCAAGCATAGTAAAAACTTATTAAAGTGAAATCCTCCAGTGTCTACAATAACAGTATCACTTTCAAGAAAAACGTTTCTGTCTGCATTTATGTTTGGTATATATCATACAAAATTTGATTACAGCATTGTAGTGACAATAATTCACTTAATTTTGTATTTTTAGTATAATGGTGGACACAATTGTTATAGTTAGTCGTCTGTCTATAATATACTTACCTAACATTATATTTTTTAAAAATTAATACACCCAACGGATAAATTCTTTTTTTTTTGTTGAATAAAGTTACGTTAAGTTATTAGCTAACTTTAATATTAGGTATTGTGTCTGTTTTTTACTTAAGTAAAAAAAAAAGCAACTTTACCATTTAATAGTTATTATATAAATCCCGTACAGGAATAATAAAATACCTAAAAATCTAGAAAACTAGATCAATGAAAACTTGACATTTAAAATCAAAAACAGTATAAATAACACAATCTGAAACTAATACAGCATTAACCAGCAGCACAATAAAACCAGTACTACTGTACTGGAAAAGTAGAATAGAAACAATATTGTTCAATCCGAAAGTGATGAGTTATTGAAATCAAACGCTTCTATAAGAATCTATGGATAGTAAGAAGCCAGCGCAGTAAAAAATGACTAAGGAAAATAGTGTAGTAGAACACTAGACCATTGGAATCGATCACAGTAAAACCAAGCACAATGTTGAGTCCAAAACCAAGTACAGTATAAATCGACACAGTCCAAACCAAACACAGGGTAAACCGTCATAGTCTAAACCAGTAGAGAAGAAGTTAGCAAAGTTGGGCGAAAGCAACTTTTTTTTGGAATCAGCCACCTCCGGGTGCCTATAATTAGCAATGAGTATAACCTGACAACAAAAAAAAAAGTGTTGTGCTGGGTCTAGATACAATATTATAGAGAAATAAACTTCTAAACAGTCCTAATAAATAGCGTCTGCCTGACAGAGAGAAAGCTTAAACGGCCAATAATACCTCTATCTCTTATAGTATTTATAATAATGAGCTGTAATTCGTTTTTAATGTTGTAGGTACTGGAGTTTGCTCGTTTTTCCGAAGGCGTATGCAATGCGCCTTACATCAAACAATCATCATCGAGATATACTTGTTTGGTTGTTTTCATACAAAGTACATATTTTTTTAATATTCTACACCATACGATTGCGGCACGGTTAATCGAAAAGACGGTAAATAGTGTTCGCCTAACCGTCATTTCTAATAAGACAACAACATGTGTTTTTATTCGTATGGAGTGCATACGTCCTATATTATGTTAACCGAAAAATATACATCTGTAATGGTAGGAATACCGTTTTCGATAAAAAAAAAAACCATTGTAACTAACGACAATAATGTTTGCTTAATAGTGTACTTTTGTTAATATAGGATGAATACGATCAGAGGACTGCCCATCTTCTTCTTCTAATCGTTTATCACATAATATAATGAAAACATCTTTCGGAACGTTTGTTGACTACGTTCAAAAACTGCATTTTTTTTGGCGGGGTGGGGAGGGTTTCCTTAGTTAAAAAAAGAAGATTGATTGTATAGAAAATTGTATACTATGTTATAGATCCAATTTGGATCTACCTTAGGTCTAATTATCAGACTTTGAAATCTAACAAAAGCTATGCGAAGAAAAAGTTCCCATTATATTACTATTTTGGTTTGTCAACGTTTATTGAATAGTAAAATGTTAAAAACATATTTCGAACTAATTGGACTATTGAAAAAGTATTAGTGATTTGTAATTTTGAGTTAGATAATATGAACATTTTTTTTTCGGTGTTTTCTCCATTTCGAGGGAGACTATCTTTAATTAATCGTTTGAGTGAAATATTTCAAATTTTGCATTTTCAACTCAAAAATTTCCGGTGCTCTACGAATTTAAAATTAGTCAAATTAGGTGTAAACTGTTGAAATAGTCGAATATATACATACATAATAAATATATATTACATAT